AAAAAAAAGAAAGAAAGAGGTGAAGAATATTAGTTCAATAAGCTGTATAATAATGTCTTGTCTTCTGGATGAACGAACAGTAACATGTCAATATATTATGTACATAGATGCATACATCCACACATCATCTATCTATACGACTTAATTCTAAGAGAAACATTGCACAATATACCACATCATCATACAAGAATAAAAGAAACAACGAAGAGAAAACGAATACATCACGTTAAATTAAGAATGATCTTCTGTCAACGCATCATTTGTACAATTAATAATTTCTATATAATAAGTCAGTTCAGTAGTCTAAAGTATATGGTCACGTCACATTGACAATCAATTTACGTTTATAAGTATATATATACATATACGCGTGTGCTGCTAAGGTCAGTGTCCTACGGGAAAGAGAATGGAAATTTCCGTCGAGAATAAAACAAAGAAAACGATATTAAAAAAGTTAACAGTCCCGGAAATTATCTATCTAAATCTTTTTTTTTTAAGTTTACATTCATCTATGTTTATGTAACAATTTTTGTATCTTTACATAAATTACACAACTATATTTCTAATTTGATCATATATTGTATCAAACACGATGTAATATTATGAAAATTTATCAGTACAAAATACGATCTATATAAATATGGGAAAAAAAGTCTCAGATTCTAGTACGATATCTCAGACTACTAATAATCCGAAGAAGTTCGTCTATGAAAATGATACTTTTTCTCTAATGTCCGAAATGAAACGTTAATATCTAAAGGGATTGAAAAATGTCGTTCCCATAGGACACGATTTCAAGCATATGTATATTCTTTCTAACCTGTTCGTTGATATTTGAGCTGCATGATGGTTTAGAAAAAAAAAGAAGAACAACGAAAGAGCTTGTCACCTTCGATGATATTTTTTTTGAAAAAAAGATGATGCAATAACATACAAAAATATATCATTTGAATGTTGAATTTCATTTCACATCATCACTGATTACATAGACACACTTTATTATGATTATTATTTCTTATGAAATTAAAGTTTGTGGTGTAATAAGTTCACTTTCATTGATTTCATCTTTTTTTTTACTATATAAAATTAAATTACTTGAACCTTCTTCAATATCTTCATCTAAAAGTTTTTCAACTAAAAATTCATAGATTTCATTCTTTTGAACATTCGTTATTTTAATCCTACAGAAAATTTTTAGGAGAAAAAAAATCATTTTTAAATAACATTTTACCATTCACAATGCCATGACGTTGTCTTACCACCATCATGCCATAAACGTATCTTTTTTATTTCACCACAATATGATAAATCATTTATATAAAATTCATCGATTTGACCTTTACGAAATGATTGTGTATTATTTGAAGATTTATCTAATAGAATAGGTCCATAGACATTATTTGAAATTGTACAAAATATTTGTAAATAAACATTGCATTGAATATTCGATTCCGTTATCATATTTTTACTACCAGTTAAAATATGAACTATATATGTTGGCATTTTAGCATATCCAGGTTCTTGATTTATTGTTGAACGAATAATAGTTCGTTTATCCATAGCATGTGCACCAAGCCAACGATTAATTGGAAATCTTTTATAACCAAAAAGTATTCAAATTAAATAAAACTACTTTTTGTTTTACTTATATGTTTTTGGAATCATTGTATGTGATAAAAAATTCCAATTCGATGTTAGATCAATAATTTCAATCATATCACATAACCATGATTGCCATTCCGATACTTCAAGACGTAATTCAATTGAATGAATCTATTCATAATTTAATAAATAGATAAAAATAAATTCGGATATTTCGTACTTCTCCAAGTCGTTTAGGACTTTTTATTTCAATTGTATCTTCACTTCCAGCATGAAATAATCCATACATTAATCGTCCTGAACCAAGAATAGCATCATTTAATGACGAATTTTCTCCATAAATTGATAAAATAATTTTTCCTCGTAAGTTCGTTTGTGCTGGTAAAACAGCTTGAGTTTTAATTGTTACAGAATAAATCCAACCTTAATAATAGAAATAAGAATTATTTCTTACAGTGGCGGATTCGGAGGGGGAGGTGATCGCCCCCTTCCGAATTTTTTTTGATTTTTCACAGCAAAGATAGGTTCACACAACTTCGATTGGACTCAAAAAATAGCTTTTAGTCAAAATCGTCCCCCTTGCAAAATCCTAGATCCGCTACTGATTTCTTATATGTAGAAATTTACCAATATCATCTTCTCGTTGTGCAAAAATATTAACTGGATTATCTTCTATTTTTTCTGTAAACCATTGTTCAACATCGAATCTAATTGATTGTCCAATAAATTAACATAGATTAATCATAAAAAGATATTTACCGATAAGATAATCCACTTATTTGATCAGTAATAAGAATTCGTTCACAAAACCAAGGAAAAGTTCCAGTATAATATATTTGTAAAACTTTTAACTAATATATATTTTAAATAATTGATAAAAAAAACGTATATATTCTAACTTCTAACATTGGCGTAATAGTTATATCAAATCTATCCTCTTGACCAGCTTGAAAAATCGATCGTGTTGAACTATTATTTTGTTCTAATGGTATTCGAATAGAATCATTTACTGAATCAATTAATACAATAGATAATTCATTCGTTCCTTCTGTATGTACAGGTGTCTGAGCACCTGTTTTAATTCGTATTATATAGTTTGATATGGAATCAAGTTGATCTACTTTCAATACAAATCATTTTTAAGATCGAATATAATTTCTCATACTTGATTTTCTTCTAGATACATCTACTGGTATATGTAAAATCTTCAAATTTGTTCCTAAATCTTTATTCAAACATTTTCCAATTGTAAAACTAAAAAAAATAATAATTTACTAAGTTTATTTCAATTAATATTTTATACTTAAATGATTTATTTGTTGTTATATCTTTTATCTGAATCCAATCAATATTCCAAAAATCTTCTTTCTTTCCATTATGATATATATCTATTGAACTTATTTGACCAATAACTGATGTCATCATTTGTCCTATTTCAAATGTATCCGTTTGATTCGATTTAAGATAAAATGATTGTTCCATTGGAATATGTAATGGTATTTCATTCGATACACCAGAATCACCATAGAATTTTAAATATAAATAAACAGAACCAAAACGAAAATTTAATGAAGCACCTTGATATCCTGTTCGAATATGTATTAAATAGATAATAGTAGATTTAACACCTGATTTCCATGTTGTTATTTTTCTTGGTTCAATAATATCATTGATTGGAAATCTATATAAAACAATATATTTAGTCTTAGGAATTTAATTATTCATTTTACAGAATAATATTATTAGTTTTTAAATCTTGAATTTCGATTGATTCACAAGCCCATCGACTATTTTCGTCATCGATTAATTGAAGTTCTATTTTGCTTAACTAGTTTGATTTTTTTCACGAAAAATATATTATTTATCATCTAAATTATTTTACTTCATTGATATATTCATTTCCTCGATAGAAATACTCGTTAATCACTCCAGGAGTTAATTGACGAGTTTGTTCAAGTGAAAAAAATGATGTTGTTCTATCGCCAATTAATCGTATGAGAATTTCAGCATTACGAGTTACATTTGTTATTATATTTGCTTGAGTTTTATATACTATTCTATAGACAGGATCTGAATATTATCATAAAAAAGATCCTTCTCAAATTTTAATCAATAAATTCCTTACCTAATTCAGGAATATTTTCATCAGTTAATTCAGTTTGTATACGATTAAGTTCATCATCTAGAAAACGATCAAATACTATACACATTCCAATCTTTAATTTGATTTTTACTTAAATGATCTGGATCAATAGTATTTATTCTGCCTATTTTAAATTTCCCAGAAATTTGATTATTATTCATTTTAGTACCATAATATTTATCATTTAGAAAATCATAAATAATTATATATTCCCATTGCCATATCGTATCTTTATGATATTTCTCAAAATAAATTGTTATTTCTTTCAACTAAATAATGCACAAAAAAACTATTAAATGAATTCTTGTTTTATCTATTCTACTTCTCCAAGTGGACAAACACCATAAAGAAAAAATTTCGAAATTGCATCAGTTTTCAATGGTTGATTGTTATTACTTTCAATCAATGGATATTGTTTTGATTCATTTTGATTACCTTTTATTTGTATACTAACAATACTATTATCGATATTTATTGTTTCTTTAGTTCGAATAATTAATTCATATGAAGGATATGCAGCGTCGTGACGTGGTCCCGGTAATGAAAGTGTTATTCGACCAATATCAACTTCAAGATCAATATAAGATGAAAATAATGGATCAGTTTTTTGCAAATCTACATCCATTGGAAAGCTGAATATTAAAAAGTATGAATTTATATCAATTAATTAGTTTATTAACTGAGCTGTTTTTGAATTCTCGAGATTTTTAATATCGATATATTCACATGTCCATGAAGTGAGATCTTCTGTATTCCAAATACGCATAATATCCGGCTAAATTTTCTAGGAGAATATTTTTGATATGGACGAAACAGTAATTATTACCATGCCTGTATCAGGTATTGTTAAAGTAAATTCATCGATTTCTAACGATTGAAATAAATCAATTCGATCTGTTAATTCATTTAGATGAATAACAGGTGAACTTCCAAATTGACCAGCAAAGAAAATATAAATCGATGGTATTAAAATGGAACTTATTGTTCGAATACCAGTTTTTACCGTCAAAAGAAAAGTTGTTAATAATTTAGTTGAAGCTGATTGAATAAGTGTTGTTTTACTTATTGTATTTAATGTATCAACAAAATCTGTTTCTTGATGATCACCACACCAACGATTAATTAAATAACTAAATATATACTCATACAGTAATATCTAACAGAACTAGTAAATTCGGTAATAGAGACTAAGGTTTCGAAATGAATTTAAATTTTCCCAGGTTTTATTTTCGAGATTACGACTTAAAATAAATTCACCTAGTTTATCTATTCGACTTTAGAATGTTTTAGGTCAACAAGTGTGAATTTGAAAGAGAATACATATATATATTGGTTTCAGTAAAGATAAATGTACTTAACAGACAAATATAGTTTATTCATACGATCGCCCACATCCCTTTCTGTCTACAGTTTTTATCTATCTATATTTTCGTTCTCCAAGTACGTTTATTTTCTAACCTTAAAATACGCTTGGAAAGAAAACAAACCCATTTTCTTTCTCGTCTGTCTGTTTACTGTTTGTACACGTATGCATACTTACTTAGATTTAATATTAAATACTGTATCATGAACATAGATCATTTCACAAAACCATTTACATTTAATATCTACATTTGAACAGTTAATATCCACAGCACGAATCTATTATTATTACTGTCATTTATGTAATAGAAATTAATTATCTAACTTTGCCTAATTTCTTCGTTGGAATATAAAATGTATCAAGTTGTCCAGTAGAAAATGGTTTTGTATCACTATCACATGTTAATAAAATCCAGTCAATCGAATTTTCTTCACCAATTAAAGTTAAAATAATATCTGCTGTTTCATTTAATGTACTAAAACCTGTTTTGATTTGAACAATATAAACAACAGTTAATTCTTCTATTCAAACAAAGAATTTCATTAGTTATTTGACTTTAAATTTTCATATTTACGACAATTAAAATCGATAATTTCATTAAATATTTCATATTTTTCATTTAATCTTATACATGTTTTTGTATCCGGTAAAAATATTTCCAAAATATCAAAATAAAATTTTGATTCTTCACTTGTATGAAACATAGTTAAACCTATTATCTAAAAACGAAAAATAATTAAATTCATCTTCATTTTCTATTTTTTATACTTTTCCAATATCCGATGTGAGTAATAAAAATTTATCTTTATGTTTTGATTGAAATGGAAGTTTATTCCAAGATGAATTATGTAATGAAAGCATATTAGTTAAACCTCGTTCACCACGTAGAACTATTTTTATCGTATGTTTTTCGGATATATTCTTTTCAGATGTTAATATCGATATAATATAATGTTTAGCTAATACATAAAATAAATAAAAAACATTGGAAAATAAAATAAGAGTATTTTTTTGTTTATACAATGTTGTTGTAAGGATAACGGATCATCTTTTTTATTTGGTGTAAATACATAAAAATCAGTTTCATTTATGGATTTTGGTAATTCATTATTAGATAAAAAACTTTGGAGAAAATTCTTTTTTTCTGAATGATTAACAAGAGTGACTTACTAGAAATATTGACCTTGAAAAACATCGAGAACAACAATTTCTGTTGCTAAACAATAATTGATTCGGTTTTGATTATATCCAAGTGTAATTGAATTTAACTAGATAAATGATTGATTTTGATTACAAAAAAAACGAAACATACAGGCATTTTACAAGCTGTTGATATAACTAAAACCGATACGAAATCAGGCTGAATAGTAATAGTTTCTTCAATTGGATCTGTCATTATATTCTGACATTTGAATTGTATTTTAATTGGTAATGTTATCTCTTTTTCGATTAGTGCTGAACCAGTTATCCATAAAATAAATGATGATTCTTCAAATAAATTCATTTGTTTTTTTTTCATATTATTTTAAATGATATTTATTTACTTAATTGAGTTTTATTGAATAATGTTGATGCGATTGATAGTTCTAATTCTTGAATATTTCCACGTAATGTTTGACCATTTTCAATCCAACGATGAATATCAATTCTGAATTATAATATAAAATCTATGTAATTACTTATTCATTTACTCATAGTATTGCTTTCGATGAATATATATCGTTGAAATAAAATAAGCACCAATATTTTGTGAATTTTCTAGTTTTATTTCATATTCATGTAATAGACCGATATCAAGCATCGTTAGTTCAAACATATTTGAACGAGTATCAGTTTTTAAAGGTGTAATTGTATCATATTTTAGATTAATTTGTTGTACTCCTGTTCGACCATATCCTTTAACATACAAAGGAAATTAATCTGTATATGTAATAATGAAGAATCAACCTACTCCCAATCAAGTCAATTGATAATATCGATTCATCAGGATTTCCTTTTTTACGCGTAACTTCAATAAGTAACATATATTTGACATTGTCTAATATTTAAAGAAAACTTCCTTTAGAAATAAATAAATAAATGATCTCACCGCGTTTCGGTGGTTCAGTATTCGTCAACATTCCTATACATAAATTAATCAAACAAGAAGAAGACTTTGTAATCATTATTTACTCTTAGGCATATAACCAGGTAATTCATTTGGAGTTAAAATAAGTCGAGTTCGTCCATCACCTATGTTTGGATGAAGCCAACGTTGTACATCAAATCTAATATAATCAAAATACTATAAAAATATTTTATAAAACCTACTTTTGTGAGAATAATTTTCTTGGAATACTAATTTCGATCCATTTAATATTTAATCCGACTTGTTCATTTGATAATAATTGTATTTCAATAGCCATAATCTATTACAAAATGAAATTCATTATCTTTATATATCTAAAATATTCTTCTTCACTTTGCCAATATCTTTAAATACAAAATTCATTTGTATTCGATCATCTCGTATTATTTCAATAGGAAATATCGGTGATAAACTATGTCGTCCATGAAATCGAATATTACAATGAATATTTTCTTTCCATTCTATTCTTTCATATTCAATCGTTATTGAACAACCAAGTGTTGTTTCTAACAAACGACAATTTAGTAAAGATACTATACATGAAAACAAAATCATAAATTAAAAATTTCATTTTTGAATATTATCATACAATTATTCAAATTTTTCATCATTTAAATTGATCGTATGGAATTTATGAACAAACAAGAAAAAAAATATGCCGTGACCCGGGATCGAACCAGGGACCTTCAGATCTTCAGTCTGACGCTCTCCCAACTGAGCTATCCCGGCGAATTAAGTATGACAAATAAAATAATCTCATTCGAATAACAAATGGCGCCTAATATCTGTTTTCTTCAATAATGATAAATCGGATTTTTCTTCTAGCTATCTTATTCAATTCTCAATGTGTACCGATACAACTTCGTTCAATTCAATTGAACATGTATATGACATCATCATTCGATTTTTGTATGCGTTATTTAACTAAAAATACAATTACAGGTTGTTCATCTAAAAAATCAGGTAATCATGGTCGATTAATTGTTATATCTTCATTAAATGATCTTCAATCATATAAATATTCACAATCTATTATTATTCTTATACCTGCTCAGAAGGATATCCTTGATTTTGCTATATTTCATTCACCAATGGTTGTTGGAATACTTATCGATGGAGAGACTATGAATATAACAAATAATTATTTTACGGAAGTTAGTACTTGTCCAGATGATTATATTGGTTCATCAAATTGTTCGATTAGAAAGAATATATATGGAATTGATTTTCGTGGAATAAATATAGATAAACCGATTTTTTTAATGACAAATCAAACAGTTGTTGATGAATTAAAAAAACTGAGTTATGTGTATAATGAACAACAAATATCGAAAGATAAATATATTGGTGTACAGTTAGTTTATTATCTTTTCTTTTATGATAAAAGAACCGTAAAATTATTTATAGTATGAAATCATATCCATATGGTACTAAAAATGCTCAAGTTTGTAATCGACGATCAAAATCAAGTTATTTCGGTAAATTTTTATAAACTGAAATTTTACAATTTATATTTTTGATATAGGTGAAGCATACTTTAAACATTATTCTATTAAATGTCGAAGTCCAATGATTAATATTGTATGGGGTACATTCAATGCTATTTCAATGAAAAATGTTCGTCCTGCAAAATCTGTCATCATTTTTTATACAAAATTTGATTTCTTTTCTATTTTTCAACCAAAAAGTAAAGTTAATTTTGATTTTTATCTATATTGTAATTTTTTTATTAGATGCTGGTGTTCAATCAACAGGATCAGGTGTAATAACTTTACTTAGTTTAGCTTGGATATTAGGCCAGATAAATTTAAGTCATTTACTAATATCAAATAAAATTAATAAAGATATTCTTCTTTTATTTCTTAATGGAGAAAATTGGAATTATTATGGTACATTTGAATTAACAAAAATGATTTTAAATGGAAAATTTCCTTATTATACAGATAAAACATCAGATCAAGATAATTTACATCCAATTGAAGCGGAACATATTGATCTTATAATTAATATTGATCAATTAGGTATTAATGATAGAGATACATATATACTATATGATAATATTCATCCATTTCTTCAAAAATTCAAGTAAGTACACAAAAACAATCAGTTTACATATATTTTGTGAAATACGAACTAAAAGAAGTGTTAGGATCTAGAGATATGCGAGATCAACCTTTTTAGGTCCCGGTCCCCGTCCCTGTAAGGTTGGATTTTTTGGTCACGCACACCTCTAGTTAGGGTTACAAATTTGTACCCCCCACAGATGTTTTTGTTTCTATTCAGAGATATTTCATCTATTCCAATAACTTTTCAACAAATACCAAATCCTATGAATTTATTTGCTGATTTTCATCTATTAAATATTAGCACATTAGCAGTATTAACGAATGCTTATCAGTATATGAATCCATTCTATAATAGTTATCATGATACTTTAGTACATGCGAAAGATTATACACAAATAGAAAATCATATACATACTTTATTAAAAACAATTTGTACTTATTTTAATTTATTAATATGTATAAATGATTTATCTATTGAAATTAAATCTGCATTAAATAATCGAATTCAAGCATTATTTGATTGTTTTTTTCAATCGAATTGTACAAGTATAATATCTGAAACGAATGAAACAGGTGTATTTTATTTTCAAGAAATTTCGAATAATATGAAAGAAAATTTCTTATTTTTACAACCTGTTTTACATCAATCTGATACTCTATCATATATAAATAATCATTTTCTTGATGCATCATCTTATATTCATGATATACTATTAAATTGGATAGCAACACGAACGATTACTACAACTAAAAATGAATGTTATGAAAAAGAAAATGTTTTTCGTTCGAAAATTTATCAAGAATCAACAGAAACATGTTTACGTGTTTCGATGAATTCAATTAATTTAATACGCAATACAGATGAAATAATTGATGATCGAATTATTTTTACATCAAATTATGATGAACCTGAATTATTGTTTTATATGATAAATAATACAAAAAGAGATATTATTATGCTTATATGTGGTATAATACTTTTCTTATGTGGATTTATTTTAACATATTTTCTTAAAGAATTATCACGTGTACTATTAAATAAAGATGAATAATTTTAATAAATCACATTTATGATTGATGACTTCAGTGATGAGTGTATAAATAAGTGTGCATTATGATTAAGCTTTGATATCAAACATACATAGAATGAGCCTAAACAAGTTTGAAATTGTTGGAAAAGTGACGGCGATTGAATGAAAGAATTCTGATTTAAACTGATTTTCTTATTTACAGATACAACGATTAATAATTAAGAGTCATAATAATGAACTAATAGAAAGTATCTTGGAACAATATTCAATGCTGTATATTCTTAATAATCTATCTCTTCCTTGAAAATAAGACTAAACGTTATATAGTGTTTATTAGTATTCACTGAATTCATTATTCGAAGAAATAAATGGAGATCTATTCTACTCTCAAAACTAATGAGCATCATTAGCACAAGAAATTTTTTGTATTAATCTATAGATTGTTCACGTCTTTCTAATATTGTCTATGCGCTCAGTAGTCAAGTATCTCTTCTGAATTCACATTCTTCAAAGATTAACATTGATGGCACTTCTTAGTGTGCCAACACTTTTTGGCTTCATTATGCGAAACGTTATGAAGATTTATAGTATCAGTTAAGCTTATTTTTGAAAAACATCTTGAGTAGGATACTCGATCTGGTATATTCTCTTGTGTGTATATATGCGTGATGAATACAAATACAATTTTTAGTTTTGATAAAGGGAGATTTGAAAAAACATTTCTATTTCGACAATCTAAGAGTCAGAACGGAAGTGAAGCT